CAACAAACCCTCCCTTCCCCAACCTCCCCCAAACACCCCCCCTTCTCCCCCCCCCGAGCTTCCCAGAGCAGAATATAGGCTTAATTAAAAAACAATCAAAAAAATTATATTTTAAAATATATATGTATATATATAAAAATAAAAATTAAGAAAAAGCTATATAATATTTTTTAATATCCATTTTAAACTGTATAAATTTTATCCATTTATCCCAAACAGCAAGAAACTTCTCTTGCGTTTGTTGCTTTAAGAAAGCCGAAATCTTTGCCATTTCCGCCAAATAAGACACTTTAAGAAACCATTCCTGCAATGTAGGCAAAGATTCCTTCTTCCAATATTGTCCAACTAACAGTCTCGCGGCTGTAATCAAATTTAACATCAATATAACCTCCTTTGTATCACAATCAGTAACTATACCCAACAGAAATAATTGCGGAGTAAATTTTACCCTCCTTTTAAAAATTCTCTGGATATTCCACCATATCTTAATCCAAAATGCTTTTATCTCTCTACACGACCACCAAATATGATAATAAGTAGCATCCATACACCCACATCTCCAACATTTAGGTTGTAGGTCAGGGTACATAAAAGACATTTTTTGTGGATCAAGGTGCCATCTATAAAACATTTTATAGAAATTCTCCCTTAAATTCTGTGCTTGTGTAAATTTGACATTTCTCACCCAAATAGTTTCCCAGGTGTCCAATGGAACTGGCTCACCAAAATTCTGCGCCCATCTAATCATACAATCTTTAATTAGTTCCGTTTCTGAGTCCAATTCGACTAGAACCCCATAAATTCTCTTAATGTGGGCTTGTCTTTGATCCTTCACTGCTTTTAAAATAGTACTGGGCCATTCAATAATTATTTATGTAATTCCCTTATGGCAATACAGTTCCATTACAAATTTGACAGTTTTTAAACTCTGTGGAAAGTATATATTGGATGAGATTTTATTGGTTATTTCGGTGATTATCAAATTAGGGAGAAGCAGCAGCAGCAAGGAAGAATATGACACATTAATGATTTTGCATGCATTTTGCAGATACATTTTTTCCAAATTTCATCAAGGTCCTATGTTTTTAACACCCTTGATTGATGGGTAGTGACAAGCATACACGTGGATAACTGGAAATGAAACTGCTCAGAAAAAAAGGAATAAGAAAGTGAAGGGAAGTTAACGGCCATGCAGATGGATACAGAGTACGCAGAAGTAAAATTAACATACACGGTAAAAATTTGCACACAGGGAAGGGGCATAGGCATCCATAGAGAGCGAGCCTAGGGAACATATGATGAACCAGATCATGATATAAATGACATAATTTATATACTTGTGTCAGATGTCAAATACAAGTACTAAGTTACATCCTTAGTGCTATGGCATTTTGACATTGTGGCTTGTTATGGATGTTCCTCGAGGAAGTGAAGAACTGGAAGAACTTTTAAATATAAAAAGTGATGTAATTTCATAGGGTTAGATCCAGTAAAAAGTTAGCTGGATTAGTCATGATCAAGTGTTTTACACTGACCTTAATAGGAACTATATAAGATTAATTTACGTTCATGACAGTTCAGAAAGTCTTTAAAAATGTTATCGCAGCATATACACAAAGTACCAAAGTTCTCTTTCTTATCAAGACCTGAGATGAAATGTACAGCCTTCATCTAATCCTGCATATGAAACTGCACTTTAATAGAATTATTGACTTAAAATGGTCAGCATTATGTACAACTTGATAGCACATAATCAATCTATTAGCTCTTGTCATAAAAATAAAAGCTATTATAGGAAACATCACATATGGCACCCAGTGGTAATCACAGACCCAACCTGTTCTTTGGCACTTTGTCTTACCAATTGTTAAATATTCCTTTAATTAGTAAAATATTAATGGGAAACTACAAAAATGAACTTTATTTCCAAAAATATCTTTGGTTCGTATAGATCCCAGAAGCATTCTTAGAAAATAATGTGACTGATGACTGCAATCCAGAGCTTGGTTTACATTTTGCAAACATATACTTTGTGATTGGCCATCACCATGTTGACAATAATTTTTTGAGATTCCATAACACACTTTCAAAATTCTAAATATGCCAACTGGTTCAAAAAGTTTGGGGACCCTGCAGAAATGATTTTCATTTGTTTCATTAGTACATTTATGAATTATTATATATATAAAAATTTTAAAAGAGTCTTTAGAAACAAAATGGCAAAATGTATAATTCAATCCATCCAATATAATGCAACCTTAACTCAACTGTAAGACGTACAATAGGAATTGTGTGAACTTAATTTCAGTGTAAGCTTGTTAAGCTGAACATAGGCTATTTTGCATTATTTGTATGTAGACTATCTATAGCAGGGGTGTCAAACTGCTAGCCCACAGGCCAGATGCATCATGATGAAACCACGCCCACCCCATTGCCGGCAATAGGGAAAAGTTCTGATACGTTGCACGACATCACATGTCCAATCTATAGAGAATCAGTTTGGTTAAGTGGTTAAGGCATCATGCTCAAACCTATGAGTTCTAGACCTGCCCCAGGCAAGAAACCAAGTTAGGTAACCTTGGGCCAGTCACTCTTTCTCAGCCCTAGGTAAGACGCAATAAAAAACTTCACCAAGAAAACTACAGGGCCAGTTCCGGTAGTCACCAGAGGGTAAAACCTGACACAAATGGACCAAAAAAGAGGACAATCTATAGTTCTAAGTATGAAGTGCAGACTGTTATGTTGTACAACAGATGAAAAATAAAATAGCCTTCCTATTAAGCTATAGACAGTCAAGAGACAATAATGTAAATAGGCTACAGTATATCTGATACTAATAAATACATTTTACTGTGTTTGGGAATTATATATTACCATGGTAACAGACATGACATAGGAACAAATGAGTGTCATCACAGATAAGTTACCAAAAATTTAACGGAACTATTAAAACAGATCTTAGCTTTACAATAAGAAGTATTTTCAACTTATTTATTTATTTATTTTATTTATTAATAAAATTTATATGCTGCCCAATCCCTAGGGACTCAGGGCGGCGTACAAAATTAAAACAATAAATATAACAATAAAACAATAAAATAAGTGCATTCATACAGCGTGTCCAGTCGTATCCCGGCCCCCCTGGGGACATCAACCCCAGGCCTGCCGGAACAGGAGAGTTTTAATGGCTTTCTTAAAGGCCGGCAAGGTTGGGAGTAGTTTGAATCTCGGGGGGAAGTTGATTCCACCAGGTCGGAGCCACCACAGAAAAGGCCCTTCCCGGAGGGCCCGCCAGCCGACATTGTCTGGCCGACGGGACCTGAAGGAGGCCCAATCTGTGGGACCTCACCGGTCTCTGGGAACTATGCGGCAGTATGCGGTCCTGTAAGTAACCTGGTCCTAAGCCATGAAGGGCTTTAAAGGTGATAACCAACACCTTGAATTTCCTGAAACTAAACTTCATAAAATATACCCACCATTATGTATAGCAATATTATCCTACATATACAATACTATAATAACAATTTATATTACAATTACAATCTTATCTACATTCAATGGCATTTTCCCAGAAAGTACCTCATCTTAATTTTTGGTATTCAAAGACCACTATTCCAAATTGAAAATCATGTTTTTTAGAAAATGCAACATACCACAGAGAAATAGGTAAGAATGAAAAGACACATTTATATTTGCTGAGAAACTCTGGAGAAAAAAGTCTTTTGAGAAATATAATTATTTTTTTGAGAAGATAGAAAGGATATCTTGGATAAAGTCTATTTGTGCAAGAAAATCCCTTGACATCTTACACAAATATATCAGAAAGTGGGTACATTCTGGAATATTAGTTTCACCAATATGTGAGGATTAGAAGGAAGGCAGATTCTTGAATTCTTTGCTTAGAGATCTACCTTCTTTTTCTGCAGACTTAGAAAAGTATGGAGAATGTCCTGTATATTCCTTCCACTTTTACATACATATTGTGGAGAAATGTGCTTGACAGTTGATATTAGCCAAGGAAGTAGCACTGCTTCTTAGACATGAAGATACAACTGAAGCTAAGTTGTTCATATACCACAAACAGCATTTCTCACACATCACTGTTATTTCAAACCAGAGATACCTCTTTAAAAAATAGCCACTTTTTATTTGCATAAGCTTAAAAATGAAATGAGCACATTATGGACTTTGAATTCCACAATCAGAAAAGAAGTGCTTATTCCAGTCTGTCATGCGCGCACACAGGCGACCGCGCGCGCACGCACGCACGCACACACACACACACACACAGAGGGTCATTATCCTAATAATTATGAATGAATAAACGAATTCATGCATGCATGCACTATGGAGGAGTTAGAACGGGGTAAGACTGCAATCTTTCTCTTCAACCCCAAAGGCAAGCATCATGCCTCATCTCTATAGTGAGTTCACAGGTGTGGAAGAAATTCTCCCTCTTCTGTCTTCCACTTCGTGGGGGGATTTCCCGCAAAGTATCAGGAGTGCTTCTGGCTAAAGAAGAATCGCCAGATCCCTCTTCAAAAGTAAGAGGAGTAAGTAGGACCCAGAGAACTGTGAAGGTTTCGGATGGTTTTTTTTTTTAAACTCTCGGCGCCTCTCACTGCACAGCCTTTTAACATCAGAAGTCCTTCTTTAGCAAACTACCTAGCTACTGAACGGGGCACGCAGACCGTCCACGAACAAAATAGTTCCCAGAGAACAACCCGATGAGCAGACTTTTGTGCGGAACATTGTTCCGTCACCACGAGAACGCAGCCTCCGCTTCCCGTCTCATCCCGCACCTCCGGCACTCCGAGGCACTGACTCTGCCCACGCGCAGCTCCGCACGGTCACTCCAGCATCCCCTACCGACTGCAACAATGCTAAGAGCTCGGGTCGGGAGTGGGCTGCACTAGGCGCCTCCCCGACTCGCCCCGGGAACAGCAGCCGGGCGGACGGGTCGGCCCCGCCACACGCACAAAGCCTCGGGTCGCACCTACCAGGCGGGCAGCCTCGGCCCAGGTGCGGTCCTTCTTCTTCCTCTTGTCTTTCATGTTTGCATCTCATTGAGATGATTCGAGGGGGGCGGGGGCGGAATGGAACGTGCAGGGACGGGGCGGGGGGAAGGAGGGGGAGCCCGAGGGTCCCGCACAGACAATGATACGGTGACGTGGAGTCCTAGAACCCCTGCGGGAGGGGCGTGGGAGCGACAAGGCGGTGGAGGGCTGGGCCGTCTCGGGCTCGCACTCCCGCAGTAGCGGCGGCGGCGGCGACACAGCTGACAGCTTGAGGGATGCTCCGCTACGCAAGTCACAACAATGCACTATGACGTCACATAAGGGAATGGCGACTGCACAAAACATCCCAGCCGAGGCGGCCGCGCTCGCGAGCAAACCGCACGAGACGCAGAGGAAAGAAAAGGCCTGCCACAGATCTCGCGAGAGCTTGTCAAGACCCCCCCTCTATTCAACCCACCCCCGTCTCCCTCCCCGGGTCGTTTTACAAATAGGAGACATAATGAAAGCAACACTACATCTCCCAATGTGCAATACGCCCGAGCGCTGCGGTTGTGTTTGTACGAGTATATGTTTTCGTTTTAAAGGTAATCGTTTGTATGCCGGGTCTTGTGGTTTGCGGGAGCTAACAGAAAGGAAGGATTTTTTTGTTGTTGTTAACAGTACATCCAACTGGGGCCGGTTCCAAGTTCCAGGTGGGGGCGGGGCCCCCTCAACTATAGATGTCTGATGCGCTTCCATCGTATTCGTCTCCAGCAAGCCCAAGACAGCCGGGTAAGCCAGGTTTGACCCCCTCACCTGCTCGCCCCCTCCCGGGCCGTCCGTCTTAATTCCCCTACGGCACCGAACGCCGAAGGAAGGGGGCGTGTCGGGTGGATCCGCCTTCCACCCACCACCGCAGGTTGCTGTGCGTTCTCCCAGATTTCGGTCTCCGTGACCAGGTGCGATGCTTAGGAACACGGATGTAGACAGCAGATGGGTTACTGCTGCCGTTCTATACTCATCCAGTTATTGGAAAAACTACAGAAGAACCAGCACCGCCAGCTCTTCAATGAACAGAGACGTAAATAGATATGGGGACAGGTTACATCGCCTTCCCTTCTCTCCCGAATTCCGGAGAAGTTCGCGATATGAATCACTAGATTTTGTCAGCATTAGAAGACCCCAAAGCTTTTTTTTTTCTCTCTCTCTCTCTTAGAATGAGTTGGATTGCCGAGAAACTCAAATCTTCAACGATTTGAGTGTACTTCCTGCCTGGGGCCGCCTTTTCCAGCTCCTTATCGAGCGCTGTAACTTTTATCTCTTCCGCAGTGATTTGTCTAGGTCCCCAATACGTCCTGAGGGTTCGCTGTATCCTTGCAGGCAATAAAGAGTCTGGCCTCAGCAGACTCAATTAACAAAACCTAGATTTTGCATGTATTAATAACTTGGAAACATTTTACATTCAAAATACCTTGTCATTTTTAACATTGTCGCATGGTCTAGTTAGAAAATAAAATAGTATAGAAACTACTGTCTTGGGCCAGGATCAGAGGAAGCCCTCTATTCTGCTTACAGAGATTGTTAGGTAAGCATTAGCCAAGCACTGTTTTTCTGTCTTGTCCAATATAAGTTTGCTGTTGTGGGAATGTAATGTTGGAGGAGGGGACACACACCCATACGCCATATATCACGGGTGTGAAACTCGCAGTGTCACATGACGTGTCATGATGGTATCATGACTTTTTTTCCATTGGCAATGGGGTGGGTGCAGTTTTGCCATGATGCATCTGGCCCGTGGGCCGGCAGTTTGACATCCCTGCCATATATGATTCTTTGAGCTCTCAGGGAAAAGTAACTATGAATGTGATGTAATGATTATTAAAACAATAGCAGCAGCAGCAGCAGTAATAGCAATACTATGGAGTTATGTAGATTTTAACAAAATCCACAATAGAAATCCACAGTATTGATGTATGGCAATTATGGGAATGTGACAAATGGGCTGGGACACTGTGATTTCAGTTAAATACAATTGCGAAGGCTGGTCTGATTTTTTTTATTTTGTTTTGCAGACTTAGTAATGTTCAGTTTAGCACTGAGCCGGTAATCAACGACACTAATACTATGCTGGAATTTTAATAAAAAGGAGATGGTAATTAGGTAATCTTACATCTTTCACTTCTAACTTTAGTACACAAATATTTTAATCAAAAGGACTAAAATACTTTAAAATTAATATTTTTATTTATTACTCTATTCATGGTCGCTCATCTCCCGGATAGACTACTGTAATGTGTTCTATATGGGGCTACCCTTGAAAAGTATCCAGAAGTTTCAGCTGCTACAGAATTTGATGGCATGGGAAGTTATATGTATTTTTAGAGCAGCACACATATTTCTGCTCTGCGAGCTACATTGGTTGCCAGTTTGCTTCTGGGTTTAAATCAAGATGCTGGTTTTTATCTTTAAACTTCTTCATGGCAGGATGTTGGGTTATTTAAGATTATGATTAAGATAAACTTTGTTGTCATTTTTTACTGTGAGCACACTGGCACATTAAAAATGAAATTCTGTTGCCTGCTTTCAAAAGAAAGTGTATATCTACCTATATACATGCATAATACATGTACACATGCTATATACATACCTACATTCATACATATACATGTATATATATTAATTACTGATCATTTTGAATACATAGTGGATAGATGAAACTTGAAAGTTCACAAGGTTTTGAGGGGACTGCCTCTTCCCTATTACTTCTGCCCATCTTGTCAGGTCTGGCATAAGAGAGAGGCTGTGAGTCCATCTGTTAGAATTAATTCTTATAGAACCCAGAAGATGAGGCTTTTCTGCCATGGCACTGCCCTGTGGAACATCATCTCCCTGAGGTGAGATTTGCTCCATCTCTCTGACCTGGAAGTTCCTTAATATCTGATTATGTGACTGACCCTGGGGGTTGCAAGGAAATAGTAACTTGATAAGGTAGCTCCATTGTTTATAATCTAATGCTCTCTCTTAATGTTTTATAATAATATTTTTTTTGAATGTTTCTGAAATTATAGTTGTTTGTATGCCACCCAGAAACATGACACATGAGATCTATTGATTAGTCAATAAAATAAAAATAAATCAGTAAAAGAGTCGACTGTTTATGCAACCCTGTAACTATGCTGTAACTCAACTATCTCTTTCAATTATTTCTTTTTCTGTAGCAGTTATATCTCAACAGCCAATACAAGATTCGATCATGTCTTTTGTCTGTTATGGCTCCCTTGTATGGGAGGGGCAAGGTAACATTCATGACTGTGGACCAGGTCAAGGTCCCTGTGAATTTGTAGAAGACACATAATTACATTCCGCATTCTTTGTTTAATCAGTATTCTAAATAATTGGCTAGGCAATCTAGTTAATGAACTAAATATTACATTATTTTGGAGATAACATAATTGCATTATTGGTGTCAAGGTTGGTTTAGTAGCATAAAACTGTAAGATTACTAGAGATATCAAAGAACAAATAAAAGAAAATAGAATGTCATTCTTATTGCTACAAAAAAAATCCTAGTCTTAATATTTCTGGATTTCCTTATGTATTCCTACTGCTGATCATGTTGCTGCTTTCTTTTCTTTCTTTTTCATAATCTCTTGGGATTGTCTCTTTTTCATAATCTTTTGGTATAATTGCATAATTAATATTGTATACACAATTATTGTTGTGCAAAATATTTACACGTAGACTAATTTGGAGTATAAATCTTCTGAGGTTTCCAACTGATATTAATCCAGAGCTTTAGTTTAAATATAGCAAGAAATTATAGCTTAAGCCATATGAGGTTCTTTGTGAAGAAATTAGTATGTGATAACAGAGAGGAATTTTTGAATCTGACAGTTCATCCACCTTCATAAACTATTAAATCAGGAATTATTATGTGAAGTGAATTAGTGTATAAGAACTGAAATGAGAAATATTTGTACAGTTACATCTGATCATTACAGCACAACTAATGTATTTAGTGTATTGCTTGCATAGCCTCCGGTGGCTGGATCAGGGTGTTAGAGGCCTTTTCCAGGCTGCTACCACCTGGATCTGAGGCCAGGGGATGCTTCTGCAGCTGTCCAGCGGCTCGATCCGGATGCCGGCAGTCTTTTCCATTCTGCTGCCACCCAGATCTGAGGCCAGGGGACGCTTCTGCAGCTCTTCTGCCCGATCCAGGCCTGACGGTCTTTTCCAGGCCACTGCCACCCAGAACTGAGACTGGGGGATGCTTCCGCAGCCCTCCAGCAGTCTGATCCGAGCACCGGAGGCCTTCTCTAGGCCATTGCCACCTGGAAATGCAGCCGAGGTTTCTCCCTTTCCCATCCCTCGAATCCTAGTTCAATACCAGAAGTGTGAAAATCATTTTCACAGAATAGGCTCTGAAATTGATTGTTCAGTTCCAGGGACATGCACCAGGTCTTGGTTCTCTAAGTTACATGCTGAAGACCTCCTCTAGAGCTCTTGCCCCCTTTGTACAGAAATCTTTCTGTATTCATTTGCAGATTTCCTTCTATGTTATCCAGAAATTTCCTGTCTTCTCTAATGAATTTCAGAATTCCCTAGCTAGCCTTGCCATTCTGAAAAACCTGAAGTTCACACGTGGAGATTTCCTAGGTTGGGGAAATTATTCTAAAAAAATACTAAGAAAAATCTGTCTTAATAATATTCATTGTGAATGTACTGTGGTTTTGCCCTTAGCTGCTAAAACTAAAATTGACTTAAAGAGCTTAAATGAAAAATGTGAAAATATGCATTTCATAAACTGGTTGAAAACTTGTAGCAAAATCAGTTCGTATACTTGCCAAAGACTGATAAGAAGTATTTGGGATAATTAGTTCTCGGTACTTAACTAAATAAGGTTAAAGATAGTGTGGAGGAGGCTTCCATTGTAAACATGAGGGAGGCCTTTTGCCTCATGCCATCTTCATTGGTGCCATCAGTTCCATGGGGTAAAAAGACAGACATAATTCTCCCTCCCCTCCCAAAGGCCAAGGGCAGGTACCATAACAACAGAGTAGGGACTGGTTCAAGTGGAAAAATGGTACCCCCTCCAGCTTTGATATTTTCATCCAATTTTAAGCCTGCCCATCATTGCTTTGGTGACATTAACCAGTTATTAATTGTTCTCGCCCTATGGAAAATGGTTCAGATAATATATATGAATCTTAAGGAATATGCATATATATTGCCAAGATTCACTTTCTAAAAATAGAAAAGGCAGCATAGATCAGCATGACCGTCTACTATTTTTTTTTAAAAAAACTAATCATATATATATATGTATGTATGTATATATATATATGTATATATATATAATTCTCAAGAAAAGGTAACACATTTGGAACATAAACAATATTCAATGTGCTGGGAAAACTCACAATCATATTGTAAAAAGTATTAGAAAATAGGATATTTTTCATAGTACAAAATCTGTATTATATTGATACAATATTTAAAGCCATTTTATTCTGCTTACTGCTCATGTTCATTTATGAATTTTAAGATTATATATCTGAAATACTGATACATTGCTTAAACCCACCATATATATATATAGGCACAGCATGTTGTCTATCTGTTTTCATCGAAATGTTCCAAGATCACTGAGCTGATCTGTACTAATACACATATTTCAAAAACTCATGGAATACTGACATAGTTGAGCGGGTTCAATTTCACATAGCCTGGTCACAGATTTTGACATTCATATTCTAAGATTTCCTTGAAGTACCAAGGTGTTCTAGGATAAGGCTTGCATTTTTTTATGACATCAGAGAAGGTAAGCCAATTGAAACCAGAAAGTTAATGGCAAATACAGACTATCAGATTATTTTTAAATTTGGAATAAAACACTCATGTTTACCTTTTAGCTTTGGTGTTACCTCTGTCCAAAGAACATTGCAAAAAATTAACATTTGGAAAACAGCAGGGCCACATAATATCTCTGGGTGTGTTCTTAGGGAATATGCAGAAGAGTTGGCTTGTGTTCTTACATATATTTTCAATCTTTCACTGCAGCAGGCAGTGGTCTCATTATGTTTTAAGATGGCCATTATTTTACCAGTGCCAAAAAAAAGTCTACAATTATGGGTCTCAATGATTACCATCCAGTTGCACTTGGATCCATCATTATGAAATGTTTTGAGAGGCTGATAAAAGACATTATTGTGTCCAGCTTCCCTCCAGCATTTGACTCACTTCAGTTTGCTTACCGCTCTACAGAGGATGCTATTCTGTTCTCCATCTCAGCTTGGCGCACTTAGAGGAAAAAAATACTAATGTGCAAATGCTGTTTGTTGACTACAGTTCAGCATTTAATACAATCATTCCTTGGCATCTAGTAGACAAACTAGGCCTTTTAGGCTTTAATACTCCTTTGTGCAACTGGATTCTTGAATTTCTTATTGATAGGCCCCAATATGTGCGAGTTGGGACTAATATTTCTAACACCATTTTCTTGAGCACAAGTTCTCAGGGCTATGTCCCAAGTCTGCTGTTCACCTTGTTGGCCCATGACTGTTGTGCTAAGTTTGCCATCAACCTATATTGTGAATATGCAGATAATACAACAGTAGTGGGCCTTATTCAAGATGACAATGAGGGTGCTTACCGCAAGAAAGTAGAGGGTTTGGTGAACTGGTGTAACAAAAACAATGAGACACTGGTGAAGCACAGCAGTATCTATATTTTCTGTGTCACACGAGAAAAATATATCTTCCTTCCCCTGTCCTTACCACTTTCTACAGAGGGACAATCGAGAGCATCCTGTCTGGTTTGGAAGCATTAGTGCTTCAGAGAGACAGTGCAGAGGGTGGTCAGAACGGCAGAAAAGATTATTGGTAATTCACTTTCTTCTATCCAGGACAGAGCATATACGCACTGCTTGAGCAGGGTCTGCAAGATTGTCTGGGACACTACACATCCTCTTCAAGACCAGTTTTCCTTGTTATCTTCTGAGATGTTTCGTGGTATCAGAAGCAGAACATCCAAATTCAGTCACAGTTTTGTTCCATATAGCATCAACCTTGTGAACTCTCAAGTTTCCTCTTTCTGCTATGTATTCAAAATGGACAGTGATATATGTATGTGTGTGTATTGTGTGTGTGTGTGTGTGTGTG